TCTATTTTTTTAAATATATTTTATTGATTTTTTACAGAGAGGAAGGGAGAGGGAGAGGGAGTTAGAAACATTGATGAGAGAGAAACATCGATCAGCTGCTAATGTTGTGGCCCCAACCCATAACAAAGAAACAGAATTTCCGGAGGATGAGGCCCAGAAACCAGGATTTTAAAAAGATTCCCGGGTGATTCTAATGTGCAGCCAAGGTTGAGAACCACTGCTTTAGAGGACTGCAGGGGTCTATCGGGCAGATTATGTCACGGTGCTGACCAGATGGACTGATTTAAGATTCCACTTCTGGGGGAGGTTGTAATTATAATTAGCTTACAATTAGGTAGCATTAAGTCTTGGTTTGGTGACATGGGCTTAGAACAAGTGACTCCAATTTGGGTGTGTTGTCTCTATTTTAACAACCCAAATTAATGTTAAAACATTTTTTATTGCAATAATGTGGATGGGCCTTGAGGTTATTATGCTAAATAAATAAATCCGATGGAAAAAGACAAATACTAGCCTGGTCAGAGTGGCTCAGTGGTTGAGCATCGACCTATGAACCAGAAGGTCACTGTCTGATTCCAGGTCAAGCCACATGTCCGGGTTGTAGGCTTGATACCCAGTAAGGGGGCGTGAAGGAAGCAGCTGATCAATGATTCTCTCTCTTTATTGATGTTCCTATGTTTCTCCCTCTCCCTTCCTCTCTGAAAATCAATAAAAAAATACATTTAAAAAGGAAATGAAGAAACAAAAGAAAAACAAGCTTATACAGGCAGGCAACAGATTGGTGGTGAGCAGAAGGGAACAGGGATAGAGGGAGGTCAAAACAGGTAAAGGGGCTCAATTGAGGGTGTTGAATGGAAACTGGACTTATGGTGGTGAGCATAACCTGAAAGTGATATAATGTTATAAGCCAATATTACCTCAATAAAAATTAAATTACAAAATAAATAATATATTTTTATATGCAACTGTACATTATGAAGGGTCCACACAAATGGGGGCCAATTAATATTTGCTTTCTCCTAATTCCTTGACCTTTTCTTTACATTTTCAGTAGGTTTCTATTTTTCTTCAGTTGTCATTTCTGATGTCATCATTTGGTGAAACACCTAAACCTCACAATGATGTATAACTGCAAGAGACAGAGAAACCATTTAGTCCAACTCTCATTGATAAAGGGGGAAAAACAACAACAAAAGATGGAACGCCTGTGGACTCGTTCCAAGTCACATAACAAATGAGTTGGAAGCACAAGAATAGAACTTTGGACCCTTGGTTCCCATTCTAGTGGTTTCCTCAGTGGTTTGGTTTTGTTGTTGGGATTTTCTCTGGCTTCCTTGGAAAGTAAATCAGTGATGGCATTTGCATAGTGCCTTATAAGGCACCTCAGATATTTTAGCTTGTGTTTGAAATGAATAGCTGAGAGACCCTGATATAACAGTTAAGTATTGCTTCTAGTTGTTTTTTTTTTTTTTTGGTCTCCTCCTCTGTAAAAAGGAATTACAATGTTCTGCCTCATAGACTTGTTGTAAATGGTAAATAACTTGCTACAATGTAATCACTCAGGCACATATTAATTATTTTCCATTTTTATCATTAATAATAATGTTGTTATTATTTGTTTTTGTTGGGAGTTGGGAGAAGAAGAGGAAAGGATGCAGAACGTTCAGCCCTGGGGTGCTCCCTGTCTGAGCTCAGGGATCTCAGCTTGACCTTGTGTTTATCAAAAAAAGGGGGCCATGCCATTTTGGCTTATTTTGTTACTTACTATTGGTAAGCAACTAAAAATAGAAGACTTGAAAAGAGGTCTTTTTTTTCAACCACTGCTCTCTGCATCATTCTAGGCTGTCATTGCTTTGGGATGCTTCATTTTAAGAGCAAATTATTTGGTGCCTGCAGGAGGTTAACATTCAAGGAAATGGAATTTCTTACAGAGGAAGAATTTCTAAACAAAAAGATACCTTATAAATATAACTCACTGAAATAACCATCATAGTGAACTCAAAGTGAAATGAACTATGAATTTACCAAAGTTTACCACTGAAAAAAAAATCCTAAACCCTATGGTTTGTTGCTTTATAGAAAGGAAACCACTTCTAAGTTTTACACTGTGTTAAAATAAACCAGCTTCATGGAGAAATGAAGCTCCCCAAAGCAGAACAACCCAAGAAGTGCTTTTTCCTTCAGATGTATTGCAACTCCAGCCTTCCCCAGCACCTTTTCCTTCCCACCCTGCCATTTCCCTCCCTGCAGCCATTTATCTCACAGAGGAAATGGCAGAAATATCCACGGCTGGTCTTTGTTGAGTTTTCTGAAAATGATAGCCAGAGTAAAGGCAGAGCTGAGAGGACATGCTTAGCAGTGATGGCATCATTTTTGGAATCACAGACCAAGTTAACACAGAAGAACAAAGCCAAGGAATTTGCCTCAGAAAAACACACAGATGCAAACATACCGAAAATCTAGTGCGTTCAGGATGTGTGGGCTCCCGGAGCCTATTTTGGGACATTATTGATGCACCTGGATGGTGGGAGTTGACAGGATTCCTGGCCTTGCTCCTTGCCAAGCTCTCTTTTGAGAACCAAGGGAGAAGAAAGGATTTACATATAGTGCTTGGGGATGGATCCAGTCCAGAGCCTGCTAAAAGCTGACTCTGGGTGGTTTTTTTGGACTCGCCTTTTCTCCACTCATTAAATACGTAAAAGGTCAGCTCCTCAGCTGTTTACCAACCAGGAGAGGAAAAGGGAAGAGACCCGCCCCTAGGTGACACTATCACCTCCTTACAGTGCTATGTGGACACATTTTGTTAATAAGTCCAATCAAAGCAGAAGAATCATATATATTTTGATAGTAATTACCAAGGTGGACATTTCTTTGTGGTACTAATCCACTCAGGTTTTATAAGAGGATCTCTGTTCTACAGAATAGTCCCATTGTGTAAGGAGACCTCATTCAAATGCAAATTTTAAGAGATTCTGAGGATTAAATTCTTTGAAGAGAAATTGAGCTTAAAAGAGTCACAGAAAAAATGAAAAAGGGTAGGGGAAATAAGGATGAGTTGGGGCGTGCTTGCTGGATGATGCTATTCAATTTGACTCCCCCCACCCCCCATCCTGTACTTTAAAATACAGAAATGTGCATGTAGGTGAACATGCCTTGCGTTAGGTTTTTGCTTGGGGTTGTTAACAGGGGGCCTCTCTTGCCTCCTTTCATTGTCTTTATTAAAGCCAGCTGATCACATGTGCTATTGGTGGATATATGGAGCTCTTATTTTGTTCAAGTGAGAGCTCTGTGTCAGATGCAGGGTCCATGTAAGTTCCTGCTCCACTGGAAGTTGACATTCTTATAATCTAGTTTGGTTCCAAAGGCCTTAAGCAGGTGAGATAGTTATCTGTTGCTTGCGGGTGAGCTTCCTGATCCCACCTCCGTTGCTTACTAACTTTGTTACCTTGGATAAATGACTTAACTCCACATAGCCTTGGCATCCTCTGTTTTCAGGGGTAAACCATCTGTGAAATATTTTGTGAGTAGAAGACATTGCACTTCTCAAACTATGTGAAGTAGGCAAATAAACTCCAACTTTGTTTTAGATCACCCCTGTAACCAGTGTAACAACAGAATGCCTGGGTTATTGGGATTACAGTGGGGCCTTGACTTACGAGTTTAATTAGTTCTGAGACCAAGCTTGTTAACTCCAATTACTCTATCAACTCAATGCAAAAAATCAGCCGAGAGACAGCTGGTATCTCAAAAAACTCATTAGTCGGGACACTCCTAAGTCAAGGCCCCGCTGTAGATGGGATAGTAATATTTATAGCTGACAGTACTATTAGGCCCTGTTCTACATATTGTCTCACTTACTCCTCACAACTCTTCTGTGAAGTAGATACTATTATTACCTCCCCTTTTATAAGTGAGAAAAATAGATGTGCAAAGAGGTTAAGAAACTTGCCCAAAGTCTTCCCGTCAGGAAGCACCTAGGCTGGGGGACTGAAACCCAAGTGGTCTGGCCCCCGAAGCCACACTCCTAGCTTTGGTCTTTTCCAGCCCTTTTCAGAGCTGCAGCATAGACCGAAAGGAGAACGTTAATGTGTGGTGGACTCTGATGTGTATTTAAGATATTTTTTCTTTCCTGTTTCAGGTATCTGACTGCAAGCAGTAATAGAAATTTTCTGCTTACCATGAGGCCATTCTTAAAAAGGGCCATTTTGGTCATAAGTTATGTAAGTACATATACACTTTTGAATTATCTGCTAAGGGGTGTTTCACTTTAACATGGCTCAGAGGCATGATCCAGATTATTTAGTAGAATCAGCAGTAAATTCTAATACCTTGATCTTAGGATCCAAGAGTTAACATGCCATAAATGTCACAAAGCATTAGAAGGCACATGTGAAGGAATTCTACAGACATGTAAACTCCATGACACTGACAGTGTGAATGAACTACAGTATTTTACAAGCAATGCTTTTCTTACCAAATCTTCTTTTCCCTGAAGGTGATTGTTGTGTTGTACTTCCGCCTGTGGATGATGGGAGGATCGATGCCCCTCTTTTCAGAGCAAGATAATCCAGCTTCATTCTCCCCTTACATTCTCACAAGGTCAGTAGAAATACATTTTTTAAAAACTTTACTGGGTATTAATTAAATTGATTTGTAATCTTAAATGGTAAGTTGGATTTTAAAGAAAGGAGAGTTTTGTTCTATTCAGGTTGTGGGGAGAAAAGAAACGACTATTCATACATTTGGAATTCTTTTCAACGAATGGATCTGTTATATTCTTGCTATTGTTCTCATAATGCAGTGGTTCTCAACCTTCCTAATGCTGAGACCCTTTAACACAGTTCCTCATGTTGTGGTGACCCCAAACCATAAAATTATTTTCGTTACTACTTCATAACTATAACTTTGCTACTGTTATGAATTGTAATGTAAATATCTGATATGCAGGATGTATTTTCATTGTTACAAATTGAACATAATTAAAGCATAGTGATTAATCACAAAAACAAAATGTAATTATGTATGTGTTTTCTGATGGTCTCAGGTGACCCCTATGAAAGGGTCGTTCGACCCCCAAAGGGGTCGCGACCCACAGGTTGAGAACCGCTGTCATAATGGCACAAATGTGTTTATTCAACAAGCATTTTATTGACTACTAATCATCAATGATAAATATCTATTAAGTGGCCCATATGGCAACTGTTACAGAACAATGCACAGCATGGCATAGAGCTTGATTGGCCATCATAACTTTTTTTAAGATTAAAATGAGTGGAGAAGTTGAAAGTAGCAAACAAAAATGAACACAAACTTTGTTAAGATATACCTAACTATATCTTACTATTTGTCTTTAAGAGATTTAGAGGTATTGGATCAAGAGGGGATGTTGATCAGTGGATCTGGTTCATTGAGAAGAATCTAATTCCTTATCTCTTCAGTCTGCTGTGATGTTCTTCTGAGGCTTTCAGATATAATTATATTAATTATATTTCACAGTTTTAATATCTTTCTTCAGGTATATTGTTGTTATAATGTTTAAACATTAACATGCCCTCTTCTTAACTTTGCATAGTTTCATACACTTAACATCTACTGGTAATATTATTTTTATAAGAGTAACCTTCCATTCTTGCAGGTTTGCAATGACATATAAATCTTAAATAAAAACTTGATTTCTTGATTTGTAGAGACATTTATAGTTTGGTTTACTTGTATCTCTTAGGGACAACAGATTGTTGGACTTTGTTTTTTTGCCAGGCAGTGATCTTTGTTTTATTTCACTCATTTACCTTATATGTTTTAATCGGTAAATTTCTAACTTTCTTGGCCTTCCATATTTTTCTTTATTGTTCCTAAAGACTATTTTCCACTCAAAAAGAAGACATTCACATTTGATTAAACCATTTTTTAAATAGATATTATGTCACAATTGTTTTCATTGCTTACAACGTATTTTAAAAATCTTGAATATACCTTCAGAAATCATATGGTATTCAACCTCTAATGTCAGCTTATTCCTTGGAGGCAGTTTAGAGACTTATAAATTGTTGTTTATAGCTTATATTTTTCAAAATGCTGTTTAATTAAACCTTTAATTAAGATTGGCATCTCTAACTCAGATTTTTGTTAATGTTGCAATTTACTTGTCCTTTTTAGGCATCTCTCACGGGCTTTCAGAATCTCCAGGGCTCCTTGTCTGGACATTTTTAGCTCATTGATAAATTGTTTCAGTTTTTGTAGCTCCTTAAATAGCTACTTTCTGCTTTTAAGAGAAAAAGCAGCTTGGCCAGATCCTCTTCTTGCTTAATGGCTCCATTTGCTTTAGCTTTGGGTTGGGTTTCCTCCAAGCTTTCTGGTCTCCTGAATTTGAGCTTGTATTCTTATCTCTGTAGTTAGATGCAGCCTGTTCCCTGCATTGTCAGTCTCTAAAAGCCAAGATGCAGTCAGAGAAACAGATGGGTGAGAACAAGAACAGACTACTTTCAACTCACCAACCAATTATTTCATGTATGTCTTCTGATATCAGTAAACACGTGCCTGGCCCCAGGTCCATGGTGTCAGGACAAGGGCCTTTGGTCTCTGTCTCCCCTCTATCTGTACTGTCAGGGAGGGGATCGGGTGAATAAAATTCTTTGGTGGAACCTCTGGCAAAATTAGGACGTTGGACCAGTCATTTGTCAAGTTCTGCCTTTTACTTCCAAGGGATACATGTACATTTTTCAGAGGGGTCTGCTACACATATTATCCAGGATTTTCTGTCTATAAATCCATCTAAGGCAATTTCAACAATATAAAGATACAGAGATCTTGTATGCATATATGCATAACCCATGGACTCAGACAATATGGTGCTGAAGGCCTCAGTTGAGGGTTGGGGGCAGGCACATTTGCTTTAGCTTTGGGTTGGGTTTCCTCCAAGCTTTCTGGTCTCCTGAATTTGAGCTTGTATTCTTATCTCTGTAGTTAGATGCAGCCTGTTCCCTGCATTGTCAGTCTCTAAAAGCCAAGATGCAGTCAGAGAAACAGATGGGTGAGAACAAGAACAGACTACTTTCAACTCACCAACCAATTATTTCATGTATGTCTTCTGATATCAGTAAACACGTGCCTGGCCCCATCCATGGTGT